TGATTCCAACTATTTTTTGTCAAAAATTCTTTGTAAAGCCATATACATGCCATCCAAATTATTTTGGACTGCCGTAATTATAAGTAAAATCCCAAATTCAATTATGACATCCCAAATTATTTTGGCACTTTACATAGTAAATTATATATAAATTGAATGAATTACGACATCCCAAATTATAATTATGCCATCCCAAAATAATTTGGGCAGCATGTATATAAAGCCAAATAATATAAACGTACTATACTTATTTTCATTTTATAAGAAAGTTTTAAGTATTTGTAACTTTTGGATTTCATCTCCAATAGCCAGATTCCTTCGTAATACATTTAAATAAGACCTGAAGAATCAAATTTTTTTATCGTTCTTCGCTATTAAATTTTTTGTAGCACAATTAAAATAAATTAGTACAGCTATCATATATGCGATACATATGATACCCAGTTAATAAAATACATATCTATATACAAACAATTATGTCAGTATTACATCATTTAAAAATTACTAGAATATGTGATTTATTATGGTGCCATAACAGATAATTTATTAAATAAAAAACTAAAAATAATACATATGCCGATCATCATATGATTATTCAAAAATTGGAAAGCCTACTATGTTCATTTTTTATGGGAAACAAAATTGCCTTTTTTGGATCATGTAACATTATTCAAACTCCATAAAAGGGAATTTATGTATTAATTCCTTAATTCTGGCCAAATTTTATAAAATTATGTGACACCGGTGATGATCACCGCTGGTGATAAATAGCAAACTCCTTTTTATTATTTTGCAATATTTATGATATAAAAAAAAAAAGTACCAAGTATAATGTGATTTAATAAAGTTGTTGAATAATTTGTTTATAATAATTGAATAATTTTACAAAAAAAAATTATTTATTATGGTAAATTTAAATGTAAAATCTTCTATTTAATGGTAAAGTAACTAAATATTCAGTTTGTTTGTATTTTTATTTTGCTGAAATAAATCTATCTAATGTATGATAAACTAAAATTATACTATTAATTGAAAAATTAAAAAACTCCTTTTTTTAAAGTTCTAGATTATTCATAGAGCTCCAAATGGGTCAGGTCAGGTCAGGTTAATTGATAAACCTGACCTGAAATTTTTTTTCAGGTCAGGTCAGGTCAGGTTATATCAGGTTGTCTGTTTGACCTGACCTTACCTGAAACCTGAAAAATTTCAGGACTATTTTTATTAAAGTATTGAAAAAAAATGGTACAAAACTTTTTTTTTTTAATATAATATTATGAAAAAAAATGTTTTTGCAACGTTTTTTATTAAAATATTGAAAAAAAATATTGCAAAACGTTTTTTTTAATATAACATTATGAAAAAAATATTTTCGCAACGTTATTATTGAAATATCAAAAAAAAAATGTTACAAAACATTTTTTTAATATAATATTATGAAAAAATGTTTTCGCAATGTTTTTTCTCAAAATATTGCGATTCAACATTTTTATATTAAAATCATATAAAAAAGTGAATCCCAATACTGCAATTCACTTTTTATATTGATTTTGTATAAAAAAAGTGAGTTGCGGTATTGCGATTCACTTTTTTATATAGATTCTATATAAAAAAAGTGAGTTGCGGTATTGCGATTCACTTTTTTATATAGATTCTATATAAAAAAAG